GCAATGGGCCCCTTTGATGAATTCTAGGTTAAAAGCCCAAGACTTGCGTTTTCCCTATAAATAGTCATGTATTATTCACAATTAGGGTTAAAAAAAGAGTGAGGCAAAATGTAGCCGCCACGTTGTGAGGTTTCTTGTAGAGTTAGATTCTTATTTCTTAAGTGTAATTTGTTCCTCACAATTCAATAAATCGAGTGATCATTCGACATAATCTTCATATTTATGTTTTTTCTTATTTTCCGCATCTTGTTCATCAAATCTCAATTAGGGTTTTAATCCCAACAAGTGGTATCAGAGCGGGTCTTTGAAGATCTGTTGATTTTTGAAGTATCGGTTCTTGATTTGATGATTTTCTACACATATATTGAAGATATATATATATATATATATATATATATATATATATATATGTATATATATATATATATATATATATATATATATATATATATATATATATATATATATATATATATATATTTGTGGTATGAGAATCAAAATTCTGTTCACGTTACTGTTCATGGGAACTGTTCATCTTCTGTTCATCTGGGTAATTTATTCGGATTCATATTCTGTTTGTATTTTCTAATTGGATTTGATCGATTGTTCAATCCAAGCCTATTGCTTCCCAGATCTAGGTCCATTAGTTAAGCCTAATTGTTTTTGACCTATTCTTATTCATTCGATGAAACACTGTTCTTAAGCCTAATATATTCGACTTCTGTTCGCATGGTTTTGAGTCCGCTATTATCAATCTCTATTCACGGATTTAGCGTTCTTCGATGTCGTATATTGTGTTCTTGCCTCACTGTTATTGATTTATGTTCTTGAGTCAAAATTCCTGAACAAAACCATTCTCAAAAATTGATTTTAATTCTCTTATTTGATTATATTTTCGATCTAATCTATATCATATTCCAAAAATGATTTATGTTTGGATCGCTAGTCGTTTTTGTTCTTGTTCTGGTGTTTTGTTCTTAACATCGATTCTGGTTGACAACTGATAATAATTTCTCTAAATCATTTATTGGTATAATCGGCTGTGATTTTGGATCTAGTGTTGTTCTTCAATGTTGAAATTTTTTTTGGAACCGCTGACATACAGACAAAGAACAGATGGCATTTTTTTTCTGATTGAATGTGATGTTTGATTTGGAAATCGACCTGTTTGGCTCGTAGATTAAGTTGAGAAACATTGATTTTGTTGTTTGATGTTAATTGATTTTGGTAGTCAAAGCAGGAAAGTCAAAATTGAAATTGCAGTATTCTCATCCGATCGCAACTTCATGGTTCACAGTTCTTATTGCTCACATATAATGGGTCTTGGAATTCGTACTCAATTGGGAAGAACAACAATCAAACGAAAAGTCAAAATTACGAACGGACTCACTACCTTTTAATTTGCATTCGTAGTCGCATGTCTGATGTTCGAAACAACAGACTTGGAATCGGAACTGTGATTGTTACATTCGCAGTGAACATGTGTTCGCATCGTGTTTATAATCGCTTGATTCATAGCGAGAGGTCAAAGATTCATGGTTGATGTTGGTTCCCAGCGAACCTGTAAATTTGATTTGCATTTTCCCGACTCGTTGCGAACCCTCGATTGAAACTACAAATATCTCAAACTCACACTACTATTCTCGGATTCGCATTTTGGTGCTTGGAACGAAAGTATAAATGGGAAGTGTTGGTGGATAGGAATGGGATTTGAGGTTTCGTATGTGAAAGATAATTTGAATTCTTTTTAATCAGACGTCTTATTGGGGATGAAGATATCAAGTTCCATTTTTGGTCCCTGAAATTTCAATGATTTGACACTTTTGATCCATGTTGTTTTCACAGTTTGGCATTCTTGGACCATTTTCAGATTCTGTTACAAATAAAGGGGAATATGGTGAAGAGTTATTAATTTTGTCCCCTGAATTTCAGCAAAGTGACAGTTTCAGCCCATTTTTCGAAAAGTTTGCAAATTTGAGGGCGATGAACAGTTTTGGATTTTTTAACGCACATATTTTTTTTTCGTGAACAGAAAAATAAAGAGTCCATCAAGTCTTGGCGGTTCGGAAAGTCATTTTTCGTGATAACGTCAAATTTTTCACGATGTTTTTGGATTTTATACTTCATTGTGTATATATCATTTTGTTGCGGGGGAGCTTAGTAAATTTTTATCCATTCAAGATCATTCTCATGACCATTTGAAGGCTTTATAATAATTTTTTGATTATAAATCGGGGGAGAATTTGGTATGGCCATTCGAAATTGGATTTGTGACTTTTCAAAATTGAAGATTTTTAATAAAGCTTGTGGTAGAATTATGAAGGTAGCTTTTACAGTGGAAGTTCTTCATCGAGCTCTGCTAAAGATTTTACAGAGAAGTATCCTTTACAGCGGAAGCTCTTTATCGAGCTCTGCTAAGGACTTGTTATATCTCCGACTTCTAGTATTTTCTCGATCAAGTGGCATTACGAATCTTAAAGTTTGGGTTGTTACATGATATTTTTTTGATGGCTTATATGATTAGCTTATTTGAAGATCATTGTGACTTGGAGGGGGAGCTCTTCAAAGACAAGAAGTGATTTGGTTTCTTTGTTCTGAAATGGGTTTTTATGGCGGGTTTGGTTTTCATGAAGATTCTTTGGGATTACATTCGAAAATGAAGTTTAAAGACATTACTTCAGTGCTTGATTTATATATCTAGAGCCCGTGATTAAAGACTATTGAAGAATCAAAGATTAGTGGATTGCTTCATATATTCCTCGTTGCAGATCTTTTTATTTGTTAGATGCTTGTTTTGGAAGTTAAAGCATTGTCATCGATTCCATACTTTGAGGGGGAGATTGTAGGGTTTCAAAGCACTCCATGGATGATTGCAATGGGCCCCTTTGATGAATTCTAGGTTAAAAGCCCAAGACTTATCTTTTCCCTATAAATAGTCATGTATTATTCACAATTAGGGTTAAAAAAAGAGTGAGACAAAATGTAGCCGCCATGTTGTGAGGTTTCTTGTAGAGTTAGATTCTTATTTCTTAAGTGTAATTTGTTCCTCACAATTCAATAAATCGAGTGACCATTCGACATAATCTTTATATTTGTGTTTGTTCTTATTTTCCGCATCTTGTTCATCAAATCCCAATTAGGGTTTTAATCCCAACACTTCTTCTTTACAAGTCAGACTGGCATTTCCTGCGGTGAGAGGCTCGGTCTGATAACTTTTTAATCGCTATATCGTCCTATTGATTGGATAATTCTTGCATTTACATTCATGCTAAGTGGTATGGGGAATTAGCTACGAGAGTGGTTCCAAGGGTCAAGTCAATTTTGAACTCAACTTGACACATGGGTGGTATTTCTGGAAGATCTTCTAGGAACATATCGGGAAAGTTAATAACCTTTGGGATACCCTTGATGTATTTTGTTTCTTGTTCCTCGTTCCAACAGGGGCTAAGAAAGAGTGTGGTACCTCTTGCATAGGTAAGTTTGAGTCTAGATGCAAAAGATGACTCAAAAGGTTGTGTCGGGTTTGTCGTTATAGAGGATACAAGTTTCGTTATTTGGTAGGTTAAGTCGAACGATTTCGTGTAACGTTTGGTGTTGGTTTGGCGAGGACTTAACCAAAACAAATAAATGATCGCGTCGAAGTTTCCTATTGTTACCGACACTAGGTCAATTTAAAAGAAATGTTTTCTTAGAGTTAGAGTGTATCCTAGGTATGTATTGTTGGTGGTTTTAGTTCTTTCCCAAGTCATCTCTACCGGGAATATTTTTGTGAATGATTGAGGGTTTTGATTTAGTATACAATTATACGTTGTAACTTATGAGTTTCCTTTTTGCACCTCTTATTGTAAAGTGTGCATGTACATGGTTAGTTGGGGACAATGTACTGGTAATCACAGTAGGGTCCTTCATTGCATTCTTGTGTTTCATTGTTGGAATGCTTCCGACGCTCCTGGATTCCTTGTTCTTAGTCCTTGGGCATTCCCTCTTGAAATGCCCCACCTCCCCACATTTGTAACAAGCCTGACTCACCTTGGTAATAGCGGATCGGGTGGTCTGTTGAGTTCGCCTCCTACAGGAACGAGTGGTATGCCCGTTTTTGTTTCAATTCTTACAGTGCAGCTCTTGGCAGGATCCTTGATGATGGAAGTTAGACTCGAGGCATTCAGGTAGGTTTCCAGCATATGTTCTCATCGATATCGGGGAAGTAAGGACATCGATGGTATAGACTACCACAGTTCATTGTCTTTTGGCAGGTCCTTAAGTCGGACTGCTTTTTCTCTTGGTCCATAATTTTTGCCACTTGGATAGTACTCCCTTATTCTCGTGATTAATCTTAGGTTTGTGATTTGGGGTGTACTTGCAGGAACACACCTGTTGGTGTCCTTGGTTTCCACTGGGGTTGGAACTGCTGGTCCCACTACCGTTTCCATTTATGTTGTTAGCACTAAGTCGTACCATGATGGCTATGACGACAACCGTTACAGTGGCTTGAAATGTAGTGAGATCCATTTGTAGAACTGGTGTTTCTACGGTATGTTGGTTACTTCCTTGCTGCACCATGATTCTATTGTGTGGTATGAAATGAGTTCGTAACTATGGTTATTTCTTGTTGTATCTCATCTATATTTGTATGTATAAAAATATAAATTATAATTTTTGTTGTATGCTTCTCAAAATGTTTCGACCAACATCATCAAAATATACTTATGGTGGTAAGTAGTAGTAGGTATCGTACGAATGTTAAGTTATCAAAATAGAACATAATTGTCAATACATTTAGTTGCTTTGGGTTATATGGGTTTTGATGGGGATACCTCTCTCGATTTAATAGAACATAATTGTCAATACATTTAGTTGTTTCGGCTTACATGGGTTTTGGAGGGCGTACCTCTCTTGATTTACTACGACTAGTTGTGATGAAAGATGCAATAAGCCTAACATATAGTGCGAGTAGTGTAGTTACTAACTCGCTCGGCTATAATGGTCTATCATATTCCAAATTAACGCACAAGGTGCCCAACCGTCTCACTCATTTCACGAGTGGCCTCCTCCTCTCTCTGTTCTGCTAAGGCTGCCTTAGCTTCAGCTGTAAGGATTTGTTGTCTCATGGTGGCCACTTCCTTCTCTAGAAAGTGTAGGCGGTCCGTATTGTTCTCCTGCTCTGCTTGTTGGCTCAGTATGTGACCTGTGTGCTGTTCTTTTTCCTTATGGATGCATTAAATTTGCATTCTCGTGTTCCGGGCTTCGCCTCCGATCTCCATTACCTCGTTATGGAGAGCCTGATTCTGAGTGTCTAAACGGGACACTTGTGGTAAGATCGAAGGTAGTGCTTGATTTGTGGGCGTGTTGGGGCCCTGATTATTGTGTAGTGGGTTCGTGCCTAATGCCAATCGTCGACGATCTTCTCTAGTCCATGCATGTCGCTGGGTTGCCTCTTGTGGGGGCGCATCTTGGACAGTGGTAGATGTCAGCAACAAAGCTTGCCTTTGAATGGATAATATTTTATTAAGAGGAATGTTTATCCAAAAAGGACACCTATTGGGTGTCTACATACTTGGAATGAAGGAGGTGGAAAGGTCTCTTGCCTGCTCCTGATAGGGTAAGGTTCACTAACGATCTCTCCAGTGCCTTTCTCCTCGTCTGACCCCTCATGATAATCCCCATCCTTGTAATACACATTTTTGGTACTCTTCAGGACCCTCTTCTAGGTTCTCTTCATGAACCTCTTTTGGATCTTCCTTGATCCATCCATTGGCTGCCATGGCGGGGTAGCAGGGTCTTCATGGTGAAATTCGGCAATGTCATCTGTGAGAGAATAGAGGTATAAGAAATACATAGAGGGTTTAAGGGTGTGGTTCCATGGTATCCTAAAATACGGTCACACCCCAAAACCGGAACGATGGAAACGTTCGAGGGCAGAGGATGTCATGTAGCGTATCATAACAATGCACAATAGTAAACACGCAACAAGTTAATACAAGTGTGTTCTGAATGTATTTGCAAGACACCAATATATATATATATATATATATATATATATATATATATATATATATATATATATAAGACAAGTCTCGAATACGCTTCGTCTTCTCAAAACCTGGTCCAATGTACCTGTCTACTGGTGACCTGAGAATACAAGTTATTTTGAAATAGTAGATAAACATTTAAGCTAGTGAGATCATAAGTATTTTAGTGTCAAATGTGTGTATAAGTTTGATGAAATTGTTTGCAAATGTTTAATGTAAATGTTTATAAGTGTTTGAAGTAAATGTTTGAATCTCCTAGAAAATCCTATATTCTCTACTTATAATGAAATGCAGTCTTCTACCAACACATGACTGCTCTGAATGTTTGTTCTTTTGTAAAGGTGAGTGTTTTTCCCATGTATGACTATCATTAACAAAAATATAGTTTACATTACCATTTATGTGAGAAGATCATTATATGAATGTATGGGAAAATGAATATGTAATGTAGTATTGTATATAGTAACTACCATTGTACTAACTACCTTATACCAATTGATTAATTAAGGTAAAATTTGATGAGATTATAACCATACTTGATTGACTAGTAAAACATGATGATCAAAACATCGAAATTGCATGACATTCGGGACCCGTAGACCCATAGGTCCCACTGTAACTAGTAGCAAGGTGTAGGATGGTCAATCCCATATAGATCTATACACAAATTCATGCTCTCCCTCCAGGAGACTCTGGTTACAGTATGTGACATAGCAATATATTACCATTCCGTGAAGTAGTGGCTCACATTAATGTGACAGTATTCTTGTATTTGTATAGTATGTTCTCTCTGTTTCTCTTTATATTATGTTCTTTCTGTTTCTCGTTATAGTATGTTTGAACTGACTCATGTATGAACTGGATCTTGTATGAGTCATTGTTCTAGTGATAGTGAGTAGTAATCCATTAAACTATACCTTTTAAAGTTTACTAGTAATGTTGCTTGAACGATTGATTATGTTTGTACACCTTTGCTATCCTAAGGTATTGAACTGTTGGAAAGAATTTTAAATCTATACACATATACATAATATATAACTAAGATTTAAATGAAACTTGTACAAACAACCAATACCTTAAGTTCACAACCAAACAAGGAACAGGAAATAAAGCGAGTTATCAGTCCTAAGTCCTTTCAACCTTATTTATATAACTATATCTATATAGACATGATTTTGACAATATATAAGTCTAAAAGAGTTTGATAAAGAGTTTAGCATATAAAAGAGTTTTAACATATAAAGGAATTTTAACCATTTAAATGGTAACATATGACTTGATGTTAGTTTATAAAATGTTTTGAAATATTTTTTCTTATAACACAGTGTTGAAGAATAAGAAATCCACTTGTTTGATAGTTATTGATCACTTGTGACTGATATAATAACTATAATGTTTCTACTTGTATCCCCCCATAAAAGCATTTAAAATCATTTAAAAGGTAAGTTTAGGGGTATGAACTCACCTATAGTGAGTGATCTAGAAGGTAAGGTAGATATAGGATGCTTGAGTTCACAATTGAAGTTCCCTACGCACAGTTGGATCCTATAAGGCATATATTCACATATATGTGTATTCAAGTACTGGTTATAACTCCTAACTAGTATAGGAAACTACATAAGATTGTAGGAAGCGCCCTAAATGAAGTGTTCAAACCACAAATGGATTCTTGAAGGAGGTTCACGGCCACCAAAAGATGGGTTTACGGCCTCATGACGTTCAGGGCCGCATGAGGTGTTCTCGGTCCATAAGAATCTATGAAGGGTTCACAGCCCTTATGAAGGGTTCATGACCGTGATCCCTTCAAGTTCATGAAGGTGGTAATGAATCATGACAAATGAAGTGTAGGATCTAGTAATCTTTCAAGTTTAACAAGTTTAAGGATGAAACACTTACGTTTTTGGAGCTTTGGAGTGTTCACGGTCAAAGCTAGTTGAGAGAGAATGGGAGTATTCACGGTTGGGAGGAGGAGAAGTGAGGTAAAAAAGGGGGTCACTCTTATATATATATATATATATATATATATATATATATATATATATATATATATATATATATATATGTATATAGTAGGTGGTTCACAGCCGTGAACCTAGTTTGCTGCCGTGAACACCTGTTGAGTGGTTTTCTGGCTTGAATTAATCCCCCCGATCTCAAGCTAACACATCCTAGCATCCATTCATACATTACACTAGGCTTAGAAACTTTCAAAAAGACCTTTAACATGTCTAAAAGGTAACAGAAACAAGTCTTACTTTGATTGAATTGAGTGGTTGCACAAGATAGAAATTTCGGGTTGTCACATCATCCACCTATGAGAGAGAATTTCGTCCCGAAATTAGAGTATAAGCAATTACAAATAAGTAAATAAAAAGATGACAGCATTTCAGTTACATTTGATCCTTGCGCTCCCAAGTGAATTCAGGTCCATACTTGGCATTGCAGAAAACCTTCACTATCAGGATACGCCTTTGCTTTTTTGCTTTACCTCTCGGTCCATGATCTCTACTGGTTCTTCCACGAAGTTGAGGTTCTCATCGATCTTGATCTCGTCGAGTGGGATTACAAGAGTCTTTGTCAGACTTACAATTTTTCAAGTTCGAAACGTGGAAAGTAGGGTGTACGTTACTAAGTTTGTGCAGTAGTTTGAGTTTGTAAGCTACATGGCCGATTCTAGCGAGAATCTCGAAAGGCCCTACGTATCATGGATTTAGTTTTCCATGCTTTCCAAAGCGTATCAAACCCTTCTAGGGTGAGACCTTCAAAAGAACATGGTCACCAACCTAGAATTCTAAATGTTTCCTTCTTTTGTTTGCGTAGCTTTTCTATCGGTCTTTATAGGCATTCAATCGTTCATGAACTTGAACGATATTCTCTGTCGTTTCCCGAATGATTGCTGGACCTATGAGAGTCCTGTCAGGAACTTTTCCTTTAGCTTACTGTGTGTCACCCACCTCAGCCCAACACAGAGGGGATATGCACTTACATCCGTAGAAGGCTTCAAATGAAGCAGCCATTATGCTCGTGTGATAACTCATATTATAGGAGAACTCGACAAGGGGTATATGAGTATCCCATGCCTTTACAAAGTCTATAACATAGGCTCAGTACATATCTTCCAATGTTTGAATAGTCCTCTCACTATTCCCGTTGGTTTGTAGATGGTAGGTTGTACTCACATCCATCCTAGTTCCTTGGGATTTTTGTAGCGACTGCCAGAACCTTGAAGTGAATCTACTATCCCTATCAGAGATAATGGATATGGGAACACCACGTAGTGGTCTGATCTCCCTAATGTATGTTCTAGTTGGTTTCTCCGTCTTGTTAGTTTCTTTGATAGGCAAGCAGTGTGCAGACTTTATTAACATTTCTACGATCACCCAAATGGTATTCAGACCACCCATTGTGTTGGGCAACTTTTTATGAAGTCCGTTGTGATCTGCTCCCACTTCCATTCTGGTATCTCCGGTTGCTTTAGTAAACCTGAGGGTTTCTAGTATTCGACCATAACCTTGGCGCAAGTAAGACACTTAATCACGAAGGTAGCAATATTTGCTTTCATGTTAGGCCACCAGTATAACTTTTTGAGATCCGGATACATATTATTTGAACCTGGGTGGACAAAATATTGATTGTTGTGCGCTTCAGTCATGACCAAGTCTCTGAAACCACCGTGCCTCGATGTCTAGATCCGATCCATGAGATATAAGGCTCCACCACCCTTGACTTCCAAGTTTTTATCCATCTCTATCAGGGATTCACCCGCTACATTTTCAGGTCTCAAGGATTCTAGCTGAGCCTCCTTAATTTGTGTGGACAGATGTAAATGGATAGTCATAGTCAGTGATTTGACTCTACAACTAGAGTATTCTCTCCGACTTAGGGCGTTAGCTACTACGTTGGCTTTATCGGGATGATAACGAATTTTGCATTCGTAGTCATTCACTAGCTCGACCCACCATCATTGTCTCATATTGAGTTCCTTCTAGTCTAATATATGTTGAAGGCTCCTGTGGTCTGTAAAGATAGTGCTTTTTATACCATACATGTAGTGTCTCTAGATCTTTAGAGCAAATACCACCGCTCCTAGCTCAAGATCATGTGTGATGTAGTTGACTTCGTGGATATAGGCGATGACTTTACCTCGTTGCATAAGAACACAGCCAAATCCTTGGTTGGATGCATCGCAATAAACAACAAAGTATTCTATCCCTTCCGGGAGGGATAGTATTAGTGTGCTGCATAAGGCTCACTTTAGCGTTTGGAAAGTTTTCTCTTGTTTTTCTTCCCAATCAAAGGCCACGTCTTTCCGGGTCAATGTAGTGAGCAGTTTCACGATCTTAGAGAAGTTTTGAATAAACCTCCGATAGTAGCCAGCGGGGCCTAGAAATTGATGAATTTTTGTAGGCGTCTTCGGTGTTGACCAGTTCTCAATGGCCTTTATTTTGGAAGGGTCTATGTGAATTCCCTCTTCCCTAACAATGTGACTCAAGAATTCGACTCTTCAAATCCAAAATTTGCACTTAGAGAACTTCACATAGAGCTTCTCTGATCGTAATGTTTCTAAGGCCTAACGTAGATGTTGACTAGGCTCCTCCATACTTTGAGAGTAGATAAGAATGTCTTTGATGAATA